TACTACCAGAGTCTCGTCGGGATAGCTAAGCCGCACAAGATACATCCCATGTACACAATGGGCGAGACTGAGACTTACAAATCGAGCTATCCCCAAGGACTAATCCCTAAAGCTTTTACACTAGGGGGCTTTCTCTGGCGGTGTATTCCATATCGTACCTTTAAAAACATTTATGCACATGATGCATGTCAATCAAGACTCCATGCTTTTCTCATATCACATTTTCATGTCTCATTGTCATATCACATTAACACATCTCATTGTCATATCACATTAACTCATCTCATTGTCATATCACATTATCACATCTCATTGTCATATCACATTATCACATCATATTCACAATTTTCACAGAGCACTTTAATTCATATTAAAACTCATTTATTTGAAAAATTAAACACATATTTACACTTCGTAAATATTAAGGAACACAACAAAAACTTAGAAGGTAAAACAGAAAACATTTAAAATTTGTCTGTTTCTCATAGGGTTCCCACAAGAACCCACAGAGCACTCTAATTCATATCAAAACTTGTTTATTTGTGAAATTAAACACATATTCATACATCTCATACAACAAGGAATACAACAAAATAATCAAAAAGCAAAACAGAAAACATTCATATTTTGCCTGTTACAATTACAAATGCATTCTCTTAGGGTTTCCCATAGGAACCCATAGAGATCTTAAAATTATACATTTATATTTAAATATAGGAAAAGCAACAGAAGAAACATATATAATTAGGAAAAATCCCACATACATGAGCATACAACAAACAACAAACATAGGATTGGGAGCCAATCCCACTACCCAACATACATTCCTACACCTAGAGCAAGGTTTCTCACTCCCCCTTACCTCGATAAGCAGGAGCTGAAACTAAAATCGGATCTTATTAGTCTCTTCCTCTAGGTTCCCCTTGGTCTTCAGAGAGAGTAGAAGAAAAGAGGTCAGAAGTGAAAAAATGTGTTTTTGGAGTGCTAGAACGTTCTATTTATAGGCATCAGATGTGGCCAGAACGACCGATTTCAAATCCGAAACGGCCCGTTCTGGACTCATGCGTCATACGTAAATTTCACATCCAGAACAGTTTGTTCCAAAACTAGAATGGTCTGTTTTGAAATCACATATTACCTACAACAGCTAGGATGGCAATGGGACCCCATGAGGTCGGGTAATAGTAAATCGGCCCCTGCCCTGCTAGATGAAAATTGGCCCCATACCCACCCATATCCGCGCGGGTATCTATTAAGCGGGTATCCATAAATTTTTTGAATACCCACGGATATCCATGGATATTTATAAAATTTTTAAGAAATTAAAAAAATTATATTACAAATAATTTTAAGTTTATATTTTAATTTCATTGAAATATTAAAAATAAAAATTCAATGTTAATTTTGAACTTGTATTTAACGTTAATTTTGTTGAAATAATAATAAAAATGCAAGATAATCAATAACTTAAAATACATCAATCTCACAAGTAAGTTAAAGTCTCATCACAAAGCTACAATAATTCAATCTCATAATTTCAAACGAAAGTAAACAACTTAAAATACATAAATCTTATTGGTCCAATCAAAGCTAGAAAATTAATCAAATTACAACCAACATAATTCTATAACATGCTTAACACATGTCGGTAACTTCATCAACCTCACTTTTGTAAGAAAATAAGTTGAGATAGTGTAGTTTTAGAGTTATGTGGTGCAAGGATAATTAGGATATTTAATAAATAATATTAAACGGGTACCCACGGGTATGGATATCATCATACCCGCCCCCGCCCCATTTATAAACGAGTAAAAAATTATCCGTTCCCATTATCCACGGTACCCAATTAGCCTATCCATTTATTATCCATAGCAGATTTTATCCGCAGATACCCGCGGGTGCGAGTAGTTTTGTCATGCCTAACAACAACCATGTTTGGAACGACCCGTTCCCAAAGTTGATCGACCCGTTCTGGAATCGCGTATTACTCATATAATCATGTATTGGAATGATCCATTCCAGTCTATGGTTTAAAGACCATTTTAGTAGTTTGGAACGACCCGTTCCAGTTTGGGAACAGCCTGTTCTAGGCTACTAAAAAAATCAAAATATTATCAAAAATAATTTTCATAAATATTTATTATTAAAATACTCATAAATATTAAAAACCTTTAAAATATTCTATAAAACCCATTAAAATATCTATAAAAAATAACCTCCTTAAATATAAAAATAAACAATAGTTAACTATTATACTAGTAGAAAATTCGGGATGTTACAGGAATAACAAAGTTCCTAAATGCTAGTATGAATTCAGAGATAAAAAAATTGAACAATTGAATTTTAACTTAGAAATATTAGGAATGTATTGTAACTTTTTGAGTTTTACAGTGTTTAAAAAGATATACTTTTATGTTAACTCCTTTAAATTTTTGTTTGATTAATTACTATTTATCATTAGATGTAGTAATTGAACAATTAAATATATAATTGAAAAATTGTAAAATAATGAAGACCTTTGAATGACACATTAAATTATAACATTTAAATTACAAGAAGTCCCCAAACAATATTTTAGTTTAAATAATGAAAATATTCTTTAAATTTTATTTTATTTTACATATTTTTTAATAATAAAAAATTGAAACTCATTAATATAATAAGTTAATGTCCATATTCAAACATTTTTAATTATAAAAATATTTTACTTTTTTGACTTTAATATTTTCAAAATAAAAATAACGAAAACAAAATATTTATTAGATTTTATTTTTTGTGTATGATATTTTCATTTTTAAAAGAATGAAATCCATAAATTTAATAAATAAATCACAAATATTTAATTATTAAAATTCTTTTTTTCCTCAATAGCTAGTAATGAACAAAAATAGAAAATACGATATTTATTTTAAAGTGTATATAAAAAGTCTGATTATCTACAAAAATGTCCCCCAAATTAATATAATTTATTAATTAAAGTAAAAGATGACAATTTTAAAATCAAAATTCAAAAATAAATATATGAATGCACTTTTTTTTTTTTAAATTTTTGCACCAATATTCTAAGACTTTACCTTAAACTAATTTGGTTCGATCAGGTTGTAAGTAAAGTTTGATTAAAGATTGTTTTCGTCAAAGATTAAACTCGAATAATATCCTAATGATAAATGCATAAATTTAAAGACTCGTAATTATGAAATTATTATACTAAATTATACCTTTATACTTTAACTTATTTTTCGGATTCATTTTGGTTCTTTAAGTCAAAATATTCATTTGGTCCTTTATCTTTTATATTTGGATCTATTTGTTCCTTTTAAAACTATATGACTATTTTTAATTTTGTGACACTATTTTAAATAAATTTTTGATTGATTCAAGATATTAAACATGTAGCATTAAATTTATCGATATAAAAATTATGAAATTCAATTGATGTTTAAATCTATTAAAGTTATAAACATAGTAAAAATTGCGTGAAAAATATATCTGATAAATAACTAGAAAATAATAAAATTATATATTTTGAATTTTTAGTTGTTTTATGAACTTAATTTTATGCGATTTTCATCATATTTAATTATGACAATGCTTTTCTGTTTGAACTTCAAGTGTATTTAATATTTTTTATTTAAGTGAACACAATGAAACAAGTCTCAAGTCATAAATCAATAATTTTTTTTAAAAGTGTGTCTCAAATAATTAAAAATAATCATTATTTAAAAAAGATCAAAATAACATTTTAAAAGATAATTGGCCAAAATAAATCTTAAAAAATAAAATAAAGGACTAAAAAATATAATCTAGCCAAATTATTATTATTTTATTTTGATTTTTTTATAATAAAAAGATAATAACTTTTTTGCATTTAATATTTTCTTTTAAAAATCACAATTCATAAATGTAAAAAATTAAATTTAATAATAATTTATAAATGAATACACAAATTTAAATAGTTAATAATGAAATCGTTACATCCTTCCCCCAATATATAATTTTAGTAATTAAAAAATAGAAAATAAAATATTTAATGAATTCTGTAGAAAAAATTCATTATGCAATAAATGTTGGCTTAAATATCATTTTAGTTTATGAAATATACCTGCTATTTTGCTTTTAACCCCTAAAATCATTTTTTTTTTAATTTTTAGTCTTTGTAAAATATATTTTTTTATTTTTAGTTTGTGTTGTGATTTTATTTTTTTTATTTTTTTAGATAACATGTCAAACATCCGTATATTATTTCAAGTGAATTTAAGTCACTTGATATTTGACATGTCATCCAAAGTAGTGAAAGAACTCGTGGGAGAAACTAAAAATTACTTTATAGAGACCAAAAGTCAAGTAAAAAATTATTGATACCAAATTTAAAAAATTGATATATATTTTAGAGACATAAATGTATTTAAGCCAGAAATATTTTAATAATGTTGAACATATTAGACATATTTAATTTGAGTAAATGGATATAAAAATAAAATTACAAATCAAAATGTTTGAAAAAAAATTAGTCATGTGAAGAATCCTTGTGCTTTGTATAAATTTTTTTTAATATTAAATACAAATTTATAAATAAATAAATTTTATAATTGATAAGAAATTATCTAATCAACCCCTTATGTGGATGAAAAAGTTGTGTTAAAAGACTCAACTTTCTTTTCATATTATATAAAAAAAAAATTACACGAAGATACAAACTTAATGACTTAAATTTTTCTCACTTTATTAATTTTAAAATAAATTTTACATGTATATAATATTTACTCAAACTCATATTTAAGTTAATACATTCATGACCATTGACTACAGTTAATAAAGATTTTAGGGTAAACGTATACTTGGAACTCAAATTTATTAAGTTGAAACTATTTAATACAAATTGATTCACACACTTGACAATAACAAATTAGTTTCAATTTTATTTTAATTTTCACTCATATAAGTTGGAAAATATTAATTATTATTCTTAATTTTTAAATAAAATGAATGTGAAAACTTTTAAAATAAATTTTAATTTAATATCTTAAAATAATATCTTCTTATGTTTATTAATAAATTTCTTTGACTCTATTAAAAAATTAAATTCTACATGTTACAACTTTGTTGCTCTTGCGTCAATCTCCAAGTCCAACATGAAACTTGAATTCTCCTCTGTCGAGAATCAAAACTTGAACCAAGTTGTTGTTGGTGGTAAGAAATCGAAGCGCTCGAATTCTCGTGGAGTTCAGAAAGCGGGAAGCAAAATCTATGATTATGCAAATAGGAAATATTGTCACCAGGTACATGAAAATTCGGTATTTTGTGGTGACCATTGTTTTACTTTTTATTTTTTACTATGTTTTTGCATTATTTTGTGGTGATTCGTAGAAAGGGAGAAATTCAATTATGGGTTTGTAAAGAACTTGGGAATTAGGTGAAAAATGGGAGCTTTGGTAGATATGACGAGTTATATAAAGATTATGGTATTTACAAAATGTGAATCAATTGGCATGATATTGATTTTCAATTTGAGTTTTGAACATATGTTAATTACTAAGATGAGGAGCTTTGTTGTTTGTTTTGGTCTTATCTAGCTACTTAAGTATGATTGGCTCTTCAAGTAAAGGATATAAGTAGTCTCATAAAAAAAAAAAAAAATACTAATATTGATATTGTAGTTTTTCTTTTACTTTGTGTTTTATGTTCTATGTTGTGTTGTCGGGAGTGATGGTTTGCAAAGAAGGAGAAATCCACATGTGGGTTTGTGTATGGGTGGGAGTTATGTGAAAATTGGGAACATTGATTGATATGGTTTTATGATAGTATGTTGTTGTAGTTTTGCTTTTAGTTTGTATTTTTTGTTTAGTGTTTGTTTGAATGATAACATTTTTGTTTTTCGATTTTTAACATTGAAGTGCCGACAAAATACCAAGAATTTTTCTGTTGTTTGTAAGAATCTGAAGAAGGGGAAACCTTGTTCAATTAAGTTTTGCTGCAGGTGTCTCTCAAACAGGTTAGCTTTCTTAAATTTGTAAATTAAAGCTTTTTTTAATTTTTTTATTTTCAAAATATTCTATTTTGTTAAGAATGTTTTGGCGATATGTATGGAAAAAGACTTTCATACTTTGACATCAATATCGCTAAAACATAGCTTCTATGTAAATGTTAGAAAGCACATATAAAATCTGGAACAAAAATGCTATAAGTTTTGAAGAATAAATAAATCTCTAATTGTTGGTTGAGGGATATCCTTGGTACAAATTACAAACTAAAATGAAAGAGTATAATGACAAAGTACACGTATATTTATTTGCATGTGTTTTCCTTTTTGAAGATTTTTCTGTGCTGAGTTAGGTATGGAGAGATTGCAGAAGAGGTGGCACTCTTGGTGGATTGGAAATGTCCAAAGTGTAGAGGCCTTTGCATTTGTAGTGTTTGCGAGTTAGTTTCTTTTTATTTTTTATTTTTTATTTTCTTTTGAGTTTATATTGTATATGGGAGTTTATTCTGAAATATGAGTTATCTTTGTAGGAAAAAACGAGGTAACCAACCTATCGGTCGACTAATTGAAACAGCTAGGGCATCTGGTTTCAAATCTGTGTTGGAAATGCTTCGTGCAAGGGCTACTAATAAGTCTAGAGATTTCGAATCGAACAAGGTAAATGACATTGTTATTCTTCCTTGGAAGCTACTGTTAAAAAAATGTGCTATTTTTTCTTTTTATTCCCCTTCCTGTCTATCATATGGTCGACATATGAAGTTATTTACATTTTTTGGTTAAATAAAGAAACTTCTTTTTAAGTATGAAAAATCATAATGATTGATGAGTTAATTATGCCAAGAAAACAATGTGTTAGAAATTCAAGTTCTCATAAGGTTCTTATAGAAAATTTATTTCATGTATAAAGCAATTTGCATTTGATAAGGTTCCATAATTACTTTATTATGTTTTTATTTGTCTTAATTATTGGTAGAAAAGTTTCACTCATTGGTGTAGCTTTTGAGAGGAGTTAAAATTTTCCACACAATTATAAATGAATAGTCAATACACTAGTACACAAAGGGTCTTTTACGTCGCTTATTTTGAGCCTTTTACGTCGGAAAAGAGTCCGACGTTAATACGGGAGACGTAAATTTACGTCGCCTTTGAAACACGACGTAAATTTACGTCGGAGATTCTCCCAGACCGACGTAAAAAGGGACAAAAAACATGCCACAAATTTACGTCGGACGAGGCCAGGCCGTTCCAGGCTTATAAAAAGGGGGTTAAAATCTTTACTGGAACGGGCCGTTCCCAAACTGGAACGGACCGTTCCAAGTTAAGAAAAAGGCCTAAAAACCTTTATTTGGAATGGCTGTTCCAGTCTACCAAAGGATGTGTTAATTTTATCCCTGGAACAGGCTGTTCCAATTTCAGAACGGGTCGTTCTAGTTACAAAATTAACAAAGAACGGTCATATCCAGAACGGGCCGTTCCGATTTTGGAACAAGTCGTTCTGGACCCTTTCTGAAGTCTATAAATAGACAGCTTGGGCTCATTTCTCAGGACCTCCAAAATTTCGTCCAAAGCTCCTTAGAGCTCGAAATTTCTCTCTCTCTCCCTCCTATTGTATTTCTTGAGTTTTGTGAGGCTTATTGTAGTGTAAAAGGTTGCCACAAAGCACCTAAAACCTCCATAGTTGAAGATCCAATAAAGCTTGTTACGAGGTATTACTCATCAATATCTTGTTTTATCTTTCTCTTCTTTCATTTTACATATTACTATAATAAACGCAATTATGTAGATATCTTAGGGGTTCACCGTGTAATTTAATTTTCATGTAAATAATCATTAATAAAGGGGATTAAATATTTAAACTATTAATTCTTATTACGTTATCTTCATCATAGGGTACCGATTTAGGGCGTTG